AATAGCAAATGAAGAGGTGAAGCCTCTTTTTATACTTTCCTTTTATGGAAAGTCGGTTTCACTAAGACACGCATGCATCTCAATCCCACATATACACCTATGCATATAACCACTAACACATACATGCATACATACTCCATGCATGCACACACATAGCACATGCATGCATAATATAATCATATATATATTCACACAAATATATATATATATATATATATATATATATATATTCAATTAATTCACAAATATATTCAATTAATTCACAAATATATTCAATTAATTCACAAATTCTCATACCGGCATGTATCAATTATCATRCTATCACKTAATTATTAAATCAGATAATCACGTATTAAATACCTTGGGTAATAACCAGGATCTGGTTATCACATGTTAGGGTATTTTGGTAATTTCTATTGTTCTATAGTCTAGTATAAGTAGGTGTTTCATGTGACCATTTTCATTCAATCAATACAATTCAGTTTCTCATTTCCTTGATAGTATCTAAATGGGAAAATATGGTTTCCATTGTGGAATTTATGTTATCAATAGTTACCAATTGGGAAAATTAGGCCTATTCAGTTTGAGTTGGTTTCCCACATCGTGACCTGATCGCAAATGTGTATCCAAAAATAGATGCATAAAATAAGGTCTACAGGTTGCTTAAGAAAATCATGCAGCCATGCAATGAGCACAAAGCGAACTATTCTTTCGCCTTTTACTAAAGAATACCGTGTGCTCGTTGCTTACAATGGCATACGCCTATTTTTAGAGAGGTCTTCATTTTATGAATGCCTCCTACAATTTGTAGTCTAAATTATGAAATGCATCATTTAGTTAAAGGCGAAATTGGTGTTATAAAACTGACCCTAACATTGGTGTTTCAAGATTCGCTTTGTTAAGCGAGGTTTTTTTTGTTCAATAGTGACTCAAACTCGATAATTACTAAGCGAGAGGTCAAAAAACAAGTTATATGCTCGATTTTTCAAAACCCCTATTATCAGACACTACAAATCTTGAACTTTTTATGATGATGAGAAAAATGGAATATCTAAGACAGGGTCTCACCGGTTGCAGAGCAAACACCACCAAAGCCAAGCTGCATACAAGTTATGTAACTGTGACATAGAAACAGGTTGGTTATTTTTGGCTAGATTGTTAGGGTGTCATCCCACATTGATAATAAAATGAAATATGTAGCCATGTCTAAATCTATTTAAGAAGGTGGTTGTAGAACGTTAAACATACTTACCTGGACGGGATCAATGAGCGATCAAAAAGTCTCATGGTCTAGGTTGGTGACCTCCATTGCACACATGAGGGGTGTCTGCCTAAGATCGGCCCAAGTGGTCGAGCCTACGTCATAATTTGTGACAGTAGGGGACAGTGTTCGCGCGACCCTTTCTAATTCTGAGTTTTGAACGTTTTCTCGAACTTTTCTCTCTTTTGATTATTACATAAATGGTCTCTGATTGCCCACCAAATGCCCTTCTCAGTATTGTCTCTGGGGATCGTGGCTAAACCATCCTCATTTCTGTATCAGCAACAAAAGGAAAAACCGATCAAACTACATACACCAAATATCTACAACTTTTAATCAAATCAGATTATATTATTGTTAGGTGCCAATTTGTTACCTTTTATTGAACTGGCATCTGAACGTAATTACATAGTTGTTCAAATGATTGACAATTCTTAACAGAAATGACGCTATAAAGAGGTAATTTCGATCGAATTGGTTTGGGAAAATCGACATAAAAAACACCCAATTGATATAGTTCACAAATCGAGGTTAAAAAGATGAAGTTAATCTTGACCCTTAACAATGGACGTATAGTCAACCACACACATATAGAGAGAGTGCACGAACACGCATCGGATGTGTAATGGATTTTTCAGCATGTAGTGCCTAAATTTAACTCGTTTAGAAATGATTCTTTTTAGTTGAAAGTGGAGAGGGGCTGCGCGAACACAGGCCCCCACTATCACAAATTATGACGTAGGTTCGACAACTTGGCCCGACCTTAGGCTAGCACCCTCCAATGTGCAATGGAAACCACCAACCAGTCCAACCTAAACCATCACTATAACAAAATCGGGTTTATGGGAGACTACCAATTTCTAAGCGTCCTAATAGACCTCTTTATAAGACTTGGTTTATAGGACCAATAAAATAAAACGTCATATCTAAAGGTGTTGTAATAAGTTTATATGATGTTTTTTGATGTCGTAATAAGTTTTTTAAGACATTTTTAACATAAAGTGTCCCATTAGCAACTTTATAGGACACTATTTGAAAAATTGTCCTATAAAAACAAATGTCCTATAAAAAATTGAGTTTATAGTACACTTTCTCAAAAGTGTCCTATAAAGTTGATTATGAGACACTTTATATTAAAAATGTCCTAAAAAACTTGTTAAGACGCTCAAAAGTGTCACATAAACTTATTACAACACCTTTAGATAGGACGGTTTATATTTTGTACCAGCTTTTAGCTCCGCATTTGCATTCACGTTCAGATGCCAGTTCAATAAAAGGAACAATGGCCATTCTTTTATGATGATGAGGAAAATGGAATTTCTAAGACAGAGTCTCACATAATCTGATATGATATTGAGATTGGTAGTAGTTTATTTATAAAAACTTGTCCTTGCAGAGATGTTGCAACCACCACGCAGTTTGTAGTTTGATCAATTTCTCCTTTTGTTGCTGGTACCATTTAAATACCAATTAATGGGTTTAGCTAGAAATGACGAAACAATCATAAGAGAGAAGATCGAGAAAGCATTCAAAAATCAGAATTAGAGAGAGCCGCGCGAACGCTGGCCCCACTGTCACAAATTATGACGTAGGCTCAACCACTTGGGCCGACCTTAGGCAGTCACCCCTCCTGTGTGCAATGGAGGTCACCAACCTAGACCATGAGCCTTTTTGATCACTCATCGATCCCATCCAGGTAAGTATGTTTAACGTTCTACAACCACCTTCTTAAATAGGTTTAGACATGGCTACATATTTTATTTTATTATCAATGTGGGATGACACCCTAACAATCTAGACAAAAATAACCAACCTATTTCTATGCCACCGCCTACATAACTTGTATGCAACTTGGCTTTGGTGATGTTTGCTCTGCAACCAGACAACCAGTGAGACCCTGTCTTAGAAATTCCATTTTTTTCATCATCATAAAAAGTTAAAGATTTGTAGTATCTGATAATAGGGGTTTTGGAAACTCGAGCATTTAACTTGTTTTTTGACCTCGAGCTTTGTAATTATCGAGTTTGAGTTGCTATTGAACACAAAAAAACCTCGCTTAACTAAACGAGTCTAGTAACACCAATGTGAAGGTCAGCTTTGTAACACCATTTTCACCTTTAACTAAACAATGCATTTTATAATTTAGACAACAAATTGTAGGAGGCATTCATAAAATGAAGACCTCTCCAAAAATAGGCGTATGCCATTGTAAACAACGAGCACACTAGGGATGGTGATTTGCCCCGACCCGGTGGGGAACCCGGTTCACCCGACCTGAACGGGGACGGGGATTCCCCGCTAAAACGGGTCCCGGGGCCGGGGACGGGGATCCCCGGTAGACTCAAACCGGGGACGGGTCCGGGGACGGGGAATGTTACTCAAAGCGGGGACGGGGTCGGGGCCAGGGATCCCCGGTATAATCAAACTAAAGCATACTTTTTACCGGGTTTTGACCGGGGATTGACCGGGGTTTACCGGGTTTTGACCGGGGATTGCTAGAATTTGACCCGGGACGAGATGATAATCCCCATACCCGCCGGGGACCGGGGTCGGGGCCGGGGGACGGTATTACAAACCGGGGCCGGGGCCGGGGATTACAAAACCCGCCCCATCCCCGCCCCGTTGCCATGCCTAGAGCACACGGTATTCTTTAGTAAAAGGCGAAAGAATAGTTCGCTTTGTGCTCACTGCATGGCTGCATGATTTTCTTAAGCAGCCTGTAGGCCTTATTTTATGCATCTATTTTTGGATCCACATTTGCAATCAGGTCAGGATGTGGGAAACCAACTCAAATTGAATAGGGCTAATTTTCCCAAATGGTAACTATTGATAACATAAATTCCACAATGAAAACCATATTTTCCCATTTAGATACTATCAAGGAAATGAGAAACTGAATTGTATTGATTGAATGAAAATGGTAACATGAAACACCTATTTATACTAGACTAGGATAATAGAAATTACCAAAATACATTAAAGGCCCGTTTACCAAACGCTTACCCTGGTAAGAATTTATGAGCAAAATTCAGTACGATCACTTATTTAGCGGATAAGATTTTAGTCCACGAAACGATATCGTATACAATAATTTACCCGGTAAGCGCTAACCTTGGTGAGAGTCGTTGTCCTCACTTACCGAGTAAGACTCTAGGTCCTTATCTTCGTTCTTACCGGGTACGATTATTGGTTCTTCCCATATTTATCAGTAAGGTAATGCAACTTAATAAGCACTTTGATAAACGGCTACTAACACTAGTCTAATACTCTAATAGATGCACACAACATACACACCCTTACCTTTATTATATATGTACCACTTTGCTCCACAGCCTTGAATTTCATTTTGTTTCTTGGGTGGTGGGCTCCCGCTCGTCTTCCTTTCTGGCCACCACACATGGGTGGCGACCACTTCTCCCGCCACCTTCACCCAAATTACCACTTCCACTTCTTCCACTGCCTCAAAATCTTCTACAACCTCATTATCTTAGTCATAAATCGAAGGTTTAGACCAACTCTATTTTCTCTCTTCTTTGCTTTTCTTGGATTCAGCCGCCAACTTTATACTATATACACAAGGTTTTCTGGCAGACTATTTTTGTTTAGCAGCAAGGTCTTGAAAATGGAACAAGAAGAATATACAAAAGAAGAATCTGGTATCATGGGTGCTCTTTTTGTCATTTTATTTCCCTTTAAACTATGTTTTACCAACCATAGGCTAGCACCCTCCAAAGTTGGATAGGGGCAGGACGAACACAGCCCCCAGTATCACAAATTATGACATAGGTTCGACAACTTGGACCAACCTTAGGCTAGCACCCTCCAAAGTGAATAAGAAGCCACCAACCTAAACCATGAGTCTTATTGATCACTCAGTGATCCCGTCCAGGTAAGTATGTTTTAAGATGTACAATCTACATAACTTTTATGGGGCTTGGTTCAGGTGGTGTTTATTAACCAAGCATGTTCGGTATATATCATTAGAAAGATGTTAACTGGTCTTAGAATTCTATATTTGTGATCGTTATCTAAGAGTGGGATATTTCAAATACATAATTGATAATGAGCACTTCAAAAATAGGTGTATGCCACTATGAACAATGAGGACATGGTACTCTCTAGTAAAAGGCGAAAGAATAGTTTGCTTTGTGCTCATTGCATGGATGCGTGATATTAAAAGGATGCTAAGGGCCTTCTTTTTGCACCAGTTTTTAGCTCCGCATTTGCATTCACGTTCAAATGACAATTCAATAAAAGGAACGGCAGCTATTTTTTTATCGAAGAGTTCACAAATGGATGTAAATGCATGCGACTTTTGTTCGAATCAGAAAAAAGATTATAAATTATTCAACAATTAAAAAAGGCGAGGTAAAAGCTTAATTACGGTGTCACTTACCTAACTGGCCACAGGGTGAGATTACAAAAACCAAGAATCTTACGCGGTAAGTGAGAGTGGCGAGTCAATTTTATTATAGATAAGAAGTTGTAGATATCCGTATATTATAGATGCAACAAATTGGCACCTAACAATAACATAATCTGATTCGATTAGTTTAATTATAGAAACTTGTCCTTGTGCAGATGTTGCAATCACCTCGGTGTATGTAGTTTGATTGGTGGTTTAGCCACGATCACCAGAGACAATACTGAGAAGGTGGCATTTGGTAGGCAATCATAGACAGTTTTACGTAACAATCAAAAGAGATAAAAGTTCGAGAAAATGTTCAAAACTCGGAACTGGAAAGGGCCGCACGAACGCTGTCCCCTACTGTCACAAATTATGACGTAGGCTCGACCACTTGGGCCGACCTTAGGCAGGCACCCCTTCTGCGTGCAATGGAGGTCACCAACCTAGATTATGAGCCTTTTTTATCACTCATTGATCCCGTCCAAGTAAGTATGTATAACGTTCTACAACCACCTTCTTAAATAGGTTTAGACATGGCTACATGTTTCATTTTATTTTCAATGTGGGATGACACCCTAACAATCTAACCGTAGATAACCAACCTGCTTCTCGGCCACAACCTACATCACTTGTATGTAGCTTGGCTTTCGTGGTGTTTGCTCTGCAACCAGTGAGACCCTCTCTTAAAAATTCCATCTTTCTCATCATCATAAAAAGTTCAAGATTTGCAGTGTCTGATAATAGGGGTTTGAACTCGAGTTTCGTATTTATTGAGTTTTGAGTCGCTATTAAACATAAAATAAACCTTGTTTAACTAAACAAGTCTTGTAACATCAATGTTAGGGTCAGCTTTGTAACACCAAAACGATGCATTTTATAATTTAGACTACAAATTGTATGAGGCATTCATAAAATGAAGGCCTCTCCAAAAATAGGCATATCCCATTGTAAGCAACAAGCACACGATATTCTTTAGTAAAAGGCGAAAGAATAGTTCGCTTTGTGCTCATTGCATGGCTACATGATTTTTTTAAGCAACCTGTGGACCTTATTTTATGCATATATTTTGGATACACATTTGCAATCAAGTCACGATGTGGGAAACCAACTCAAACTGAATAGGCCTAATTTTCCCAAATGGTAACTATTGATGACATAAATTCCACAATGAAAACCATATTTTCCCATTTAGATACTATCAAGGAAATGAGAAACTGATGAATTGATTGAATGAAAATGGTCACATGAAACACACCTATTTATACTCTAATAGATTCACACAACATAAACACCCTCACCTTTATTATATATATTTATTACAATAGATTCGAGTGGGTAAGTAATAAATAAAACAAGATATAGAAGTTTATAGCAGATGTTATATACTTACATTAAAAGTTTTTCAAATTAAAACAAAAAAGATCTCTTGATAAAGTAACATACCAAATTTATTTAAATATAATCGCTAGTGTTTGACGAAATATTTTGTTAGGAGACATGCAAGTAAGTTAAGATTAAACATGATTCATTAATCGATAACTAATAAAATGCAATGAATGTATTTAAGGTGTTTTAGATGTATTTTTTATTAAATGATTAGTTTAAAAAACATGAAATTTGTGGAGTTCTAAGTTACATTGGCACGCGTTACGTAAAGTTAAATGCTAAACGTAAAAAAGTTGTCCTGGTGTGGTACAAACAACTAATATCCAAGGTGAGTATCTCCAACTGACTAATATAAAGATCAGTAAAATGGCTTTTTGCCATATTCAGTGTTGAACTGTTCATCTCCGACAAAAGTGTGAGAGGAGGGTTTTGGAGGAGTTCTTTTATGATTTAGTGCATATAGACCCATAGCTTTGTATTTTAGAGTTTTAGAGACCGTTTATTGAACACTTACCTTGCTAAGCACTTACCGATTGAACATAATAAGGACCGAGAATTTTATCCGGTAAAAAGGGAAGGCAAGGATCGAGAGCTTTTACTCGGTAAGCGAGGGTGATGACTTTAATCTAGTAAACACTTACCGGTTATTAACGCTTATCATCAACCGATTTTGATGGCAATGAATGTTATCCAGAGTGGTGACTATTGCCGATAAGTACTCACTTGGTAAACAGCCTCTTAGTGTGAGGAGGAAAGCCGGAAGGTCCGAGAAGATGGATAGACTAGAGATAATAGTTGAAGTGTTATGTACATAAAATTAAAGAAGGCTCTCGTACTGAAAACTTAGGGTGGAAAAGGGTATCCATATTAAGGGTTTTAGATATTTGAAAACAGAGAAAATTTCTTCAAAGAATCTAGCAAGATTCAGAAGAATTAAGTTAATATGATCTTGAGTTCAATGTGGCCCACAATTGAAGGGGTGATTTCCTTTTAACAAAGCCGCTTCCTCCTTGATAGTCTCGTAGACATACTATCTTAATGTTGATTTATTCATTCTTCGGCAAAAGTAAGCTAATTTATTATTTGGATATACATGTTTGGATGCATAAGCTAGCTTATTAAAATGCTACTCTAAGTAGCGTTTTGGTAACTTATTGTCATTTTTTTTCAATTATAACTCTCATTGATATTAGTTATTATTTATTACTATTAACTATAAAAAATGTTAATAAAATTTAAATATTACTAATATTAAAAAATATTAATT